TGACACTATGTCCTTACTTGGACTTTGGGGTACAGTTGGGTATGCTTCGTTGTTGACACTTAGATAGTATGGGGCACGTCAGTTTGTCCCAACAACATACGAATTATCTACATCAGAGTTTGTGTATCACGGTGACAGTTATAAGAAAAAGATCAAAGAGATAGCCGAGTCATGGAAGAAAGTATCCTGGATAGGTGTTATGGCTGCTAGAGATATGCTCACTCCGGATTATGTGGAATGACGAAGATTAAGAAAGAATGATAACATCCCGGTGCCAGACTGTGAGGACACACGAACCATGAAGGAGCATCTCAGGCATGTCCCTTCTGAACTTGAGATAGCTAAGGCGGAGTTTGAAGCTGTGAATAACGAGCTGAAGCAGAGGGTAAAGGAACTTGAAGCTGAGCGCTATCAGTGGAAGCTAGATGTCGACTCTCAGAAAGATCGAGCAGATAAACTTGAAAAAGAACAGAAAAAAATCTGTTTTGAGCTCGAAGACTTGAGAAATAGGTATCAAGATAAAGTCAAGGATAATTCCAAGTTGAAAGTGGCTTCTGAATACTGGAAAGACGAAGCTCATAGCCTGAAAAGAAAGTTCGAAGGGCCTGATGAGAGAGCTTGGAAGGAACAGATGAAGACTGCCCAGAGGCGCTTAGCAGACAGTCAGTATCAAAACCAATGCTTAAGAATCCAGATGGCTAATCTGGAGAAACAACATGAGAGAGATGACAAAACAATAGCTGAGTTAGAAGCTATTGTAAATGGGTTCAAGAAGAAAGTGAGCAAATTTCAGATAGTGCTCTTCGACGGAGGTTTACAGTGGCGTTTCCGTTGGGAGCAAGCACAACAAAGGGTGAAGGCCAGAGACGCAGTCATCCAAGACTTCCTGGATCAAGTACAGAAGGCAGCTCATCATCTACATGACTTGGCAAGGGAAGCTGGAATGGTCCGACAAGGCATACAACCAGTGACAGATGAAGACAGAAGACTTGTCAATCTACTAGAAGCTATTCGGGGTCTAGAGGATTTAGTCCGAATGTACCTTTGATCGTTTTTATGTCTCTTACAAGATAAAACATTTTTGTCTAAGTAAATATTATTTATAATAATGGACAGTTTTCTGGATCAATGCCTCGAACATTTCATGCATTCTTACATTTTGCATTTTTGCCTTTTTGCATCTTCATCTACATTTTCAAGCATTTTCACAAACATGAAATTAAGTCATGAAGGACTCGATAAAGTAGATTTAACCACATGGAAGCAAGATTGTAACATTAAAGAGCTTGATCAGCTGATGGTAGGACAAAGTCGGCCAAGATGATCTAAGAAAAGAATCCCCATATCCTAAGGACTACGATGTTGAAGCTGTTAGGTGTTACCACATAAGAAGCCCCAAACATTCCTCTGAAAATTGTAAGGCGTTTGCCTTAGAAGGGGGCATGGCATATACCATTTGTACTTAGATGATTGTTTTGTTTGAACACGTCTTTGATCTTTCATGTTTGCTTAATCTTTTAAATGATTGAATTTATGTTGCTTTCTAAGGTGGAGCAATTGAACAAATTTTAATCTTTAGTTCTTCGAATATTAAATGAATTAATGATTCTTTTAATTCTTCAAGAATTATAGATTTTTGACATATGGAAAGATTAGACCTTTCTTACCCGGTCTCAAACCCCAGAATAAAATACCTTGATTCTTTGCCCAAAACAACTCATGGTCATTACCAAAAGACGAAATTTTGACATTACCTCCTTTTGAAATTCTTGAACATTACCTTTATCTTTTTGATACACTCATACCTTTCTTTGAGTCAATAAGATCACACCATTGTCTTTTTTAGACTCAAAAATAACCTTTCTTACTATTAAAACCCAAGGCATTGAGTTGTTCATTTTAACATGAGCATTCTTCTAAAGAACCAACTTGGGGCATCTCGCGGGGAGCCTGAACATTGAGACATCTGAGAAAAAAGAAGAAGAATTCATTCGAAATAATTCTATCATACATTAATTACACTGTTTTCATGTGAATAGAATTAATCTTGAAAATATATCCACCCGGGGATACCTATTCTGTGAAGATTTACATGTATGAAATGATGAACGGCTTTCTTTCTTTATCCCTTCACAACAGGAGAAAAAAATATATCACTTGTGTCCCCTTTTGAGCCTGTAGTATTTTTCTTCTGATTCAACCCTAACCAAGGATCACCCTCCACACTGGGGGGCAAGGTGGAAGAAATATGCTCGCATGAGCGAAGACATTAATTCAGATGAGATACCAAAAGGTGAACCAAATGCCAAGTGCGAAGATTCAATCAGAACAAAAAGGGCAAAAAACAAAAAAAAAACAAAAAGAAGAAAAAAAAAGAAAGAACAAAAATCAAAAAGAAAAAGGGACAAAAAAGCACATGCAAAGATTCCCTAAAGACAAATGGTACATCAAGCTTCAAACTATGAGATTGATCAAGCACAATCATTCCTGAATCACTGAATCACTTCACTCGAAGATCATAGAGCATCAAGAGAGAGAAACATTTTGAGCAAGATTGAAGGCATCAGAATGAATTGATCCTTGGTTCAACACCCTGAAATACTTGTTTGGGCCTATTTATCCTTTTCTTTCATAACCATGAACCCTGGCCTACATTACATGCCTTAAAAGTCTCTAATCCTATATGGATTTCTAAACATAAGAGAATATCTTCATATTTCATCCCGCCCATCAAGATTAATCTTTGTTTGCAAAAAACAATGTAATTAATGTATGGTAGAGAAAAATAACAAAGGGGGGTTCAAGACGTAAATCTTGAATAACGTCTTGAAACCAAAGGAGGGTTCGAGTTGAAAACCTGAAAAAGCGGCTCGAATATAAAAATTGTGCAACTGAGGCATCACACAAATTCCTTGATACGATATCACACAACCCGAGTGTGACCACGAAGGTTGGGAGTCAGATAACACTTCCAGTAGAGGAGCATGCAAGCTACCCCATCAAACCGTTGAACATCAAATGCCAAACCTATGAGTACCAAATGCCAAACCTTTGAGCATCAAATGCCAAACCTTTGACCAAACATAATAACCTGAGATTTTTTTTATCCTTTCCTTACTTAACCACTTCCCAAAAATAGCTTTGATCTTGGCACTTGTCAAATAGCTATAATTCATTGAAAGATTAACAATATAATTAATTCTTTGATATCCGATGAACTCTAGTTTATGATTCGTCTCAATTGTAAAACCGTGAAATTGACAATATTTTCAAAACTTTGGATCAAACATTTTTCAAAACTCTTTTAATTGATATTTTCATAACTTTGAAAATAAAAGAGAAATAAAAACATTTTTTTCAAACAAGACAGTCTCTCTAGAGTGGATCTTGGTAAATGACATGTGACTTTTAGACACAAAACTCATGCTCATAATCAATACTGAAGCAAGAAATGAGGAACATTTTGGGCATCTTTGAAGATTCAACATCAAATATTGGGGTATTTTTGGATTCAACATCCTAATGCAAATTATCAGACTTTTTTCAGGAGATAAAATATAACCAATTCATGTTACATGCATCTTATGCATACATTTTAGAGCATCATATTTATCATTTTCCACATACATAATTTTTTGCAGCTTTTAGAGTCAAGTTTCGACTTCAAGACGAAGGATACTCGATTCAAAAGCACCTTTAAAGTTTCATGTTGGTTGCTTAACTCAGCAGCAAAAAGCTATACTTTGAACAACTCGACAGATTGAAAGATTTCGACTCACCATTATATGTGTATATGTTCTTTTCGTCATTTAATTTATTAATTTATATATATTTACTTTTTTATTTATTTTATATATATATAATTCGTACTTTGTTATTATTATTTTGTTTTATTTATTTTCCTTTTCTTTTTTTATATATTTTATTATTTATTTATTTTACTTATTATTTTATCTTTGCTTTCTTCATTTTATCATTTTACTTAATTTGTTTTCTTTTCATTTTAATTTAATTAATTAATTTCTTACCATTTTATCTAACATGGCTTTTTTACTTTCTTAAGGGTATATTTTCAATCAATCAAATGTAAGTTTTGGATCGTTATTTTACCTTTCAATTTAAACTTTCAACTTTCTTAATTAAAGACAACTGGAAATTACATAGTACCGAAAGGGCGGTTCAAGGGTGCTAATCCTTCCTTGACCGTAACCGAATCCCGGATCCGACATATCACTGGTAAGACGCAGATCATGTAAGAAATAAGGTATTCGATCAACCAACTTTTCGTAAAGTAAATGATCGGTGGCGACTCCCAATCCATTTTTCACATCGAAGCCCAATTCCGGAGCACAACCGAAAGACGGTTATGACAGAATGATCATCTAATTTCAAGCAACAAAGAATACAATTTTGGTGTTCTTTTAAGCCATTGACGAAGAAATAGGGTCTATCTATGTTTTAGGTCCTCTTAGTTTTGTAACGAGGTAAACAGAGCTTTGATTCTTTTAGGATTTGCATTATTTAACTCAGGTTGGTAAGATGTTAATTTTTTTTTTTAAATATTTAAATATAAAACTTACTCATCGAGTCCATTTACAGAAGTGTAAAGGTTTAATCGAACTTAACTAACTCGTTAATCGAGGCATTAGCCTTTGTTTGCAACCTTTGTTTTTCACATTCCCCCCCCCCCCACATTTGTCATTGTGGTTCTTGTTCCATCTTGATGCTGAATATACATATATAAACAATTACCAGGTGTGCACTTTGTGAGTATAATTAACATTTATTTGATTATCTTGCTAATATATAATACATGGGATTAATCTTTTGTCAACATATAATCAATGCTATATTCATTTGTATGTTTGTGTTCTTCGTAGGTTATAGAAAAAATGATTGATTAATATTATTAATCTACGGTAGTTTTTAATTTTTAATTTTTAAAATTATAATATTATTATATTTTCTCTTTTTTTATTAAATAAAATTAGTTGCTCTAATTAGTCAAAAAAAATTCTGATTTGGATTATTTAAGGGTTTATTCTGAACCCATCCATTGTAACTTGAGATGATGAGAGCCAACGTATTGAAGTGTGATCTATAGCATATTGTTTGGACAAACAATTGGTAATTTCAATTCCGGCCACAGTCCTCGGTCATCATTCCTTTCATACTTCTGGATAACCAGATAGCCGTCTCCCTTGGGGACACCATATGTTTACCGAAAGGCTTCAAAACGATGGACAGCTCTTGCAATCTGTTTTGTTGCAGTAACTCGGCAGACAATTCAAGAAGCCCTTCGAGTGCCTCTGCCCTTTGCCTGTAAGAATTGACATCCAAAGTTTCCCTTGCTTGTTTCACCTCTTCTGTCACAGTAGTGTTGGGCTTCACAGGCTCCGGTGGCTCGGATTTTAGAGATGAGGAAGTGGAGTTCCTAACATCCGCTTCTTTAACACCAGGATTATCTGAAACGTTTGGTGTTGAACTTAAAGCTTCAGAGCAGCTTGTTGCAACGGTCACTGGACTAGTCGTGGTTCTCATATTGAATTCATCTCTCACAACATCAATGGGTTTTGACGACGAGGAAATGGTGTTCCCAGTATTCCTTTCTTTAACAACGGAGGGCATTGGGTTCCTAACATCCATTTCTTTCAGACCAGAATAATCTGAAATGTTTGGTGTTGAACTTGAAGCTTCAGAGCAATTTGATGCAAGGGTCACTGGACTAGTCATGTTTCTCATTTCCAATTCATACCTCGCAACATTCAAGGGTTCTGGAGATGAGGAAATGTACTTCACAATATCCATTTGTTGAATACCAGAGGGAACGGAGTTCCTATTGTCCACTTCTTTGACACCAGAATAATCCAAAACATTTGGTGTTGAACTTGAAGCTTCGGAGAAACTTGATATAACAGTCACTGGTCTAGTCAAATTTCTCATATCCAGTTCACACCTCACAACTTTCATGGGTTCTGGAGATGAAGAAATGGAGTTCACAATATCCATTTCTTTAACACCAGAGGGGACGGTGTTCATAACATCCATTTTGACACCAGAGAAATCCGAGACATTTGGTGTTGAACTTAAAGCTCCAGAGAAATTTGATGCACTGGTCACAGGACTGGTCGTGTTTCTCATAACCAGTTCATCCCTCGTGACATTTACGCGTTTTGGAGATACAGAAACAGAGTTCCTAACATCCATTTCTTTAACACCAGAGGGAATGGAGTTCCTAACATCCAATTCTTCGACACCAGAATAATCCGAAACATTTGGTCTTGAGCTTAAGGCTTCAGAGCAACTTGAAATAATGGCCACTGGACTAGTCATGGTTCTCATATCCAGTTCATCCCTCATAACATTCATGAGTTCTGGAGATGAGGAAATGCAGTACCTAGTATCCATTTCTTTAACACTAGAGGGAATAGAGTTCCTACCATCTATTTCTTTGGCACCTAAATAATCCGAAACATTTGGCGTTGAACTTATTGCTTCAGAGCAACTTGATGTAGGGGTCACTGGACTAGTCATGTTTCTTATATCCAATCCATCCCTCACAACATTTATGAGTTTCCTGACATCCACATTTTGAACATCCATTTCTACTTTTTCCATCACTGGCTGCTCACTGCCAACAGAGAATCTACAATGCCTTGTAACATGCATAGCATTGTCATCAAATGCTGGAGAACAAGAAGTGCTAGCTGGTGTTTCGATTGTTGAACCACGTACATTTGTTCCTCTATCTGGTTGTGAATTCTTCGGGCTAGATGAAATCGATGGGGCAATGCAAGGCATAGTTTCTGCAACTGATAAGATAGGTTCAATTACATTGAACTTCTCATCACCACTGGCTGGCAAAGAAAACTTTGAATGGAGCATCACATCATGCATACTACTAGGGCTGCCTGCCACAGTTTCATCCAATCTGATAGTGGGGCAATCTTCCCCAGTTACAGGGGCATCATCACTGCTACTTGGCTTGCTAGTGAGGGAATATTCCCCAGCAGTTGGTCCACTTACAGGGGCATTTTCCCCAATACTTAACCAGCTTACAGGGGCATTATCTCTGATACATAACCTGCTTATAGGAGCATCATTACTGCTACTTGGCCTGCTTATTGAAGCATCATCCCAAGTGCTTGAACTGCTCATGGAGGGGGAATCTTCCCCAGCAGCTGGTCCACTTACAGGGGCATTTTCCCCAATACTTAACCAGCTTACAGGGGCATTATCTCTGATACTTAACCTGCTTATAGGAGCATCATTACTGCTACTTGGCCTGCTTATTGAAGCATCATCCCAAGTGCTTGAACTGCTCATGAAGGGGGAATCTTCCCCAGCAGTTGGTCCACTTACAGGGGCATTTTCCCCAATACTTAACCAGCTTACAGGGGCACCATCTCTAACACTTAACCTGCTTATAGAGGCATCATTACTGCTACTTGGACTGCTTATTGGAGCATCATCCCATGTGCTTGAGCTGCTCATAGAGGCATCATCCCTACTACTTGTTCGGCTTAAAGGAGTATCATCCCTACTACATGTCCGATTTAAAGGATCACCATCCCTACTAATCATCCTGCTTACAGCAGTCTCATCTTTATGAACAAAATTTTCTTCAGAAATCAGGTCTGGATGGTCCAAAGGGGCACATAGAGTCACTTTTTCATCTACTGAAGAGAAATGCATCTGAGCTGGACCAGATTCTTCAGTTGAAAACATGACAGATTCATGATGGTATCTGTAGCTTTCTCTCAACAGAACCTCAGGCATCTCTGATTTCAGAGCAGGTGAGCTGCATGGTGGATGTGATTCTAAGCTCTTGATGTGGGTGATCATCCGATGCTCCTGTGTCTGTTCTGTCAAGTCAATAAAAGTGGTGGTTGCATCATCACAAACCTCAAATGCTTGAATAGAGGTTGCAGATGAGACGGAAGTGCTGCTATCTGTTTGCAACCTCATGGTAGCTCCACTTAGAGCTATCTCAACATCTTGTTTCACCACTCCAGAAGCCTTTTTAGAGTAACCATTGGACAGTTGGTGAGAAATAGCCTCACAATCCTGGTTTACTTCTGAAGATCCTAACTTGGTTCTGTTACTTGCCTCATTTGAAACATCACTTCCAGCATGTTTCACCTTTACTGTAAAAGATGATCTTCTCGCAACATTGGAAGTTCTGTTTTTAGAAGGTAGACAGTCTTCAGCAACAGGCTTCTCAGTTGCAGGTGGAGGAATCCCTTCATGACTAGGTTTAGTCTTAGGGGAGGATTCAATAACAGGTAACTGAAGACAAGAACCTTTCAAAGTAAGTGAGGATACCAATAACAAATTAGATTAAGATTAAACCGTTAAGTGGTAGTCAAACCTGGTGCTTCAAATGGTGTGATCCGGGCATCCTTTTTGCAGAATCTGGTCGTAATTTAGCTGAAGCAACAGCTGGTGTATTAGCATTAGGTTTTGAACCTGGAATTGGAGCAGGAAATTTGAGAACTTTGGGTGATGCTTCTAAATTATTTCTTTGAGTCAATCCACCTGCAGCTTTTGTTCGACCGCCTCTCATAGGGGAACCACTTTCTCTTACTTTCCCTTCTTTCAAAGCCGTTACTACGCCTTTGATGGATTTTGGTTGCTTTGATTGAACATTAGATCCCTGTTCCACATGAGAAGGTTTCATCCTTCCTGTTTCATCAACTTTACCAGAGAAACTAATGGGGCAAATCTCTTCTTCCTTAGAATTGGAATCTGTGCCAGTGGCCTCATTATTGCTATTTGGAATCCTTGTGTCAGTGTTCCTGTGACTTGAAACCAAACTATCTTTATCACTACATGAGCTATTACTATTCTGACTCTCGGCCATATTTTTCCTATTACCACGACCAGTGGTAACATGCTTATCTGAGCAGCAGTTCTTCGAAAGACAGCTAAATGATGGACTATACTTATCAACATATGGCTGCAAATAAGGATGCTTCAAAAGCTCTGATGCCTAATCAAGGTGAAAACACAAAATTTTACATTGAAGTCCTGCATGTGGAGAATCCTTAGTATTGAGCAAAAAGAAACTCTTACACTTGGTCGATGTTCTGGATTCTTTCTTAGCATGCTCTTGATAATTGCCTTCCTGTTCATGTAAAATTAAATAGATTAACAATCATGTAGTGTTACTGCCAAAATACAGATCACCAAGTCCCTTGAGAATTTAAACGAAAATTCACTATTTTTGCCTTATATAGGGAGAAGAAACAAATTTCCAAGAAACCAATTTAAAAAGCCCTACATCTATAAGAAATAATTTGATCAAGAGATCTGCACATTGTTGAAACTTAATACATAAAAGAATAATCAAGGGTAGAAAAGCAGTGTAAGAGCATGAAAAATCACAGAGAATACTTGGTTATCATGAGAACATACAATAAGAGTGAGCTCTAAAATTAATATTAAGACTTACAATGATGGAGAGTAGCAAGAAGGCAAAGGGCCCATAGAGGAACGATTTATCTTGCTTATCAACCCTGCCATGTCCTAGAACAAAAAGTTTAACAAAAATTAATTGAACTAAATTTGTATAATTTACACGGATAGTGGAGGCATACAAATAGTAGTTTATAGAAAACCTCTGAAAGAACGTGACATCACACTAGACGAGGACAACATTAACTACTCTGATAGCATTAATTTAAAGAGTGGAGGGCAGAATTCATGGAAACTGTTGTGAACCTAGCAAAGGCTGCTACATATTATTCCATAATAAAAAAAAAGGAAGGGAATAAAAAAGAAATTTTTTAATTTCCTTTTTAATGTAACATCAAATGAAATTCGTGCTATTCATCAAAATTAGATTAACTGTGTAAAACTCATTCCTGAATAATCAGATTCAACAAAAACATTTGTGAGAACTCTTACAAAAGCTTTAAAAGCAGGGCGACGAGCAGCCATCTCATACATACAGCACCCTGTTCAACAAGAAGCAATTCAGCTAATATATATATATACATACATACATATATATAGATATATATAAGACATACCCTGAGACCAGATATCAGACTTGAAACCATAAGGAATATCTGCAAGCAGTTCAGGACACATGTAATTGGGAGTTCCAACCACCTGCGGCACATACAAAACCACTATTATCTAGCACTGGAACTAAGAATAATTAGCACATTCTAATATAAGAAAAATACAAAAAAAATAATGATATCAAAAGGTAAATAAGTATTGTTCATTGTCAATATAAGGGATTGAGAATACCGAGTTTTAGACTAGTGGTTGTTCTCATACTCATTGCATTGGAGGCTCATGGTGCAGGTTTCAACTCCCTCCTCCACACTGCCTTTGCCCAAAAGTGTTGAGTATGAGAGCAAGGATTGACGAGTAAAAAATCTAACCCAATAGATACAGTTATATACGCTGTCTTTGGATATTTATGATTGATACAGCATGAGTGACAGTTAATTTACAGCACTCCAGTATGTAATCCTTGCACAAATTTTAGGCTCTTTTAATGATAAATTATTAATACAAGACCATTAAAAATGTTAAATAAATCTCTCCTATCACCAAATGTTAACCAGAAGTCGCATACATGCATATATTTTCAGCTCCTACGTAATGATGCCATCCCAAAATATACTACGGTAACAACAAATGATTCTTTTTGCTTTAATTCTTTCCTTAAAAAAGATTAAGTGATTATTTATGTTAATCTACTTGGTCTTATTACAAATTTTACTCGGCAATTAGTTACAGTTTGGTCTCAGTCGATAAAATTAAAATTAGCACCAAGTTTAACTGTAAGGTTGGCACACACTAGGCCTGTTCATTTTAACAAATCATATTATTTTTTCAGAAAATGTAACTACGTTAGATTGTGACAGCCAATCTGGAAGAGTGGAATATGTTATTAATTACAGAATGTGAGTAATATGCTATCATGCAAGAATTTTTGCCATAAAAGTACAGGGAAATTGAGGCATCAGCCAACAGAACACAAATATTAGCACAAAACTGCATTTCGAGCTTCGTAGCATAAGCTTATTATAGCAAACTGTAGGAAGACAGGGAAAAGAAATGCTAAAAGAATGACCCAAAAATATTCTTTTCCATCTTTGGACATGGTTGAAAACAAAAAAAAAATATTTTCCATCTTTGGACATGGTTGAAAAAAGACTAAAATGAAATGTATTTCAAAAAACCATTTCATTACGGCATACATACCGAGGAAGCCAAATCATCTGCCTTTAGAGTTTTAGCAAGCCCAAAATCCCCTATGCCAGAACAGACCAGAAAGGAATTTAGGATAACAATCGCAGAATAGCCAATCAGGTTGGATATCTAACATAACTTAATAGGAAACATAGAGAAAGAGAGAACCTGTAAGAAAGCAAGAAGAAAAGGAAAAAGACAAAACTCACCAAGGCGAACATCTTGATCTTTGGTAAGAAAAATATTGGAACACTACCAAGAAAGTGCTGAAGTCAGTACATAAAAAAACAAGTTAATAGAAAGACCAATGTAAATTGACATACATACCTTTATGTCCCGATGCAGAACAAAATTTGAATGCAGATATTCAACTGCCAGAAGTAGCTGCGCAAACCACTTGCATAGCTTCTGCACAATGTCCACAACCAGCAGAATTAACTGTAAGTCATAACCACCTCCTTTCTTCCACAATTAGGTGAGGAGAAGGGAAGCCGGAAACCCCAACGAGGAACCTTGTACCGTGCCACACAGTTCTAAGAAGAAACTAACTTGTAAAATCAATAGGTATAGAGAGATTAGATTACCTCCTCCGGAAAATAGATCCCATTTGATTTTTTCATCAATTCATCCCTGTTAGAAACAGTTAAACAGAACAACAATAAAACACTACAAATAAAAAAACTCCGAATCAAAGTTCTACATACAAACATGGGAAACTCACATATCTCCACCTTCGCAGTATCCAGTAACAATGCAAACATAGCAGCCCTACATAACAATTACAAAACACAATCAACAGAAAGAAAAAAAAACCGAGGCAGTCGCGCACTCAACAAGCTACAAAGTGAAGCCAGATTTTGATTCGAGAATCCTAGCAACAACAAAAAAGGTAGTCTGGTATCTTACTTTCTCAACCCAGGCTTCCTTAAATTGAACAACGTAAGGGTGTTGAATTCGCGAAATAAGTGCCATCTGCATACCACAAAAATTGAAACTAGATCGTAAATTGGAATATTAAACTCGTTATTCCTTTAACGCGAAAACAGATCAATTTGTTTAAAAGAAAATAACAACTAACTTCTTGATGCGCAGAACTCCTACAGCGGTCCGTTTGCCGCGCCAATCTGATCTTCTTCAAAACATACCTATTTTTTAATTAAAAAATAATGTTCAAACAATCAAATTACACATTAATTAAAATCAGAAATTGAGAAATTAAAAAAATAACAAGTACTTTTTCTTTTCAGTTTTGTGATAAACGAGAATGGCAGCGCCAAATGATCCACGGCCGATCTGTTCCATGATCTCGTAATGATCCATTCTCGACTCCATTGCTATTAACGCTTTACTGGATATCCTTTTCCTTTTTTCTAGTTTCCCCCCCCCCTAAAAAAATCAAAACAAAAGGAGCAGCGAAGAATTGTTTTGAAAAATCGTTTTCGTTATCAGACGTTTGTTTTTTCTCCGGATCTCGAAAGAGTTGCCGGATTCTTCGCTCCACCACCAAACCTGCCAGTGCATTTCATCAATAACCAAACGACTCGCTTTGAAAATATCAGCATTTCGTTAAAGCCATAGAAATCCTCGCTGACGATCCTAACCGCCTGTGTTTCTCGTTGCTGTTGAATTCTCTAAAGCTTTCTCTCTTCAGTCGTTGGCTAGCAAGAAACAAAACAGGAATTATTTTCTTTTTATTTTTCATTTTAGCGATGGAGAGAGATTCTTAACTGAGCAAGACGGATAGTGGCTGACGGAAGGTAAAACTGAATTAAATTAAATTAATTTATATTTATTTAAGCAGTACTCTTCGCCGACACAACAGAACCTGCTTGGGGTCAATATTTACTAATCTCCGTTCCAAATTATAGATTTTTAAAATATTAAATACAAATACTAAAATTATGTACCAAAAGCTATATGTACTCGTAAAATAATAGATTAGATGTATGCAATTTCTTTGTAAAGTTTTAATTTGAATATATAAATTTATTTAAAATTTAAATCAGTTTATTATATGTATTAAAATCAAATATTATATAAAACTTTAATTGAATAAATTATTTATTAAATATCTAAATTTGTTAAATACTTGAGTTTAGGAAGTCCAGAAAAAACTTTAGGTAAAAAAATAATTAATTTAAAACCAAAAACCTTTATACAAAAAAGTAAAATAAATTCGAATAATAAATATTTTAGAACTAATATTTATGTTCACTTTAAAATAACTAATAATTTAAATATTACAAAAGAATTCATTTTCTTTTCTTGAATATGTTCACAAGACCATTTAGTTCCTTCCGGAATCCGGATCCACCCGCCTTTTATGTATAGATTTTGTTAAATAAAAATAGAGGATAGAAGATGTAAGGGTAAACTATACGTTTAGTACTTAGATTATTACTTTTATTTTATTTTTGTATTTAAACTTTTTTAAAAGTTATATCCAACTTTTAGCTTAATTTTCAATTTGGTACATCATCGTTAAAAAATTAAAAGAACTATTGATGTGCTACTTTTTTTATTTTTCAATCATGATGTAGCATTATCTTATTGTGACATGTCAATACCACTGTTAAGTTTTTAATGAAGAGATACAAAATGAAACTTAAACTAAATGTTATGTATGATTTTGAAAAAAAAATAAAAGTTTAAGAACCAAAATAAAATAAAAGTAATAGTTTAGATACTAAATGTGTAATTTTCCCAATATGTAAATACCCCTAGGACTTTTTTTGGTCTATCAACTATAGTAAAGTTATAAAAGGATAAAAATGACTTTTGGATAATTTTTTAAAAGTTAATTAATATGTTATTGAAAATAACATAATATTAGATTAATTAATTAATAATATTCCATCAATATATATAATTGTGGTCAAATTGTAATTGTATATAATGCTTTTAAAATATAATCTACGACATATGTTGATGATTTCCTATTTTTATGGGATTTAATTTATTTTATATTCTTTGTCAATATGATTTTTATGCATTCAAATTTAACCTTAAATTTATGATGGAACTCAAAATTTTGGATATTATGCAAAATAATAATTAAGAATTTAAAGTATAATACAACGAAAAAAATACTAATAAAAATAAGAGGGGGAGGAGGAGGTTAACAGGTTCGGCTTCATTACCTTCACTTTGATTTAAGGTATAAATTTTACATAAATTTTAATAGATATTATATATATTAATAAAAGAATAGGAGAACAGTAGATAGCATGGTTTTCAGAACCGGATCGGTTAGCGAACTGGTCATGCTGTCAGTTCACTGGTTCAATCGGTTGAACCGGTCTGACCAGTCGGAAAAACCGGATGAAATTATAATTATTTAAAAAATTAAATAAAAATACCAAAAATATTTAATAAAAAATAATTTTTTATATCACAAGTCATATTCAAAGCAAGTTATAACATATATAAGTTAAAAACCATAAAATCAAGTGAAACAAAATAATTCAAATTAACTACAACATAATATTTAAGGTAAAACATATTAAATATTAAATAATAAATATAATTATATAACTATAATTTAAAAATAAATTTGGGGCTAAAAAAATCATAACAAAAATAATATTGTTTGATTTTTTTTAAAAAAACAATCTCACGTGGCTAAGAAACATAGAAGAGCATCCCAAAAGTCTAAAGAGTAAAAATATGATAACAAAACAATCCCACATGGCTAAGAAACATAGAAGAGCATCCCAACTAACTTCTATAAATAATAGAGGTAATTTGGCATTCAAAATCATAGAGCCTTTTGGTGAGCATTAAGTGAACTATTCTTTCACTTCAATCAGGCTTGAATTTTAGGCTTCAATCGAGCTTCTAATTTTTTTTTTGAGTTCAAGCCTTTTCGAGTTCAAGTTTCAATATTATATTTCGAGTTCGAGTTGAACTTGATAATTTTTAGCTTGTGAGTTTGAGTCGAGTTGAGCTTACTTTTAAAGTTTTCAAGTTCAAGTCGAGCTCAGCAATACTCGAGTTCGACTTGGCTCGTTTAACAAACGACGTCGTTTGGTTTAATTTTTTTTAAAAAAATTGGCGATTTTTTCTGGTTTTTTCCAGTTTTCAGTCGGTCTGGTTCGAACGGTTCAGCGGTTCTAGCCGGTTCACTAGTAGCGGTTCAACCGGTGTATATTGAACCGGACTAGACAACGGTTCTTGATTGAACCGGTTGAACCAGTCGGTCTGGTCCGATTTTCAAAACACTGGTAGATAGCCTAATATATTTTAATAGATATTATATATATTTTACTTACTTTTTTTCTTTTATACATGACATCTAATTAGTTTATATTATAACAGTTTAGTCAAGATATAAACTTGATCATATCAAATTAAAAAAATGAAGTAAGTTGGGATTATCTAAGATTAAATTTGACTAATAAAAAATGATTAAATTTGAGATTTATGTCAACTAATGGTTTAGAAATATTTGGTTAGTTTAGTTGCTTCAAAATTTTAATAATATTTTACGATTCAATTTTATTTGGTGGATATATAAGATTAAGTTCTATTTATATCTTTAAAAAAATGGTAATATAATTCTTAAAACAAAATGGGGCTAACCATCATATTAATATATCATTGACAATTAATTAATACAATAAGATGGGGATTAGACCCTTAAATAAGGTTATAAATTTAAATCTTGATATTTACGAATACAACAAATTGTATTAGATTGTCACCACATAATAGATTTATGTAATATATAATCTGAAATAGTCAATTAATATATCAAATATCGATGATTATGCAAAAAAATCATATTAATATGCTTACATAAAGAGTCTTAAAACTCAATTACTGACAACGTACACACACCCTACAGATATAACTACTCAAACTTAGAACTCTAGAGAGAACAATGCTCTTCTTAATCATTGAGATCACTTGATAGTTACTCATAGTAAGTATGTGTGTTTTTTTTACACAATCCCTGCCTGACGGAGAGGAAGATAAATTTTACTCTTAATGTATATTGAATATATAATTTAAGAGAGATAGAAGGTGTCAAGAAAGAGTTTTTAATCCGCTCCAAAGATTATAGAGCTTATAATGGGCTTTTTTAGTCATATATATTTAAATTTTGGTATAAAGGATGATTATTATGAGATCTTAGTTTTGAATTTTTATTATTATACTATTTATAATTATCATATATTAATAAAAAAAGATTTTGTATAATATAAGAAGCGTGGCCTGTCCAATTTGCTTTAAAAGGGGGGGGGGGTACTCAAAATATTGAAAAGGTTTGTAATTTGCAACTACCTCGAGTGACTCACATGGGCCATGCCTACCCTTCAAGAATGACTCATCTATTTGTTGGCCTTTTCTAATTATTAAATTATCCTTTAAGATATACTTTTTTCCCTTATTTAAAATTAAAAGAGAAAAAGCAAATTATTGCGGTCATTAAGTCACTAGGAAGCATAGGCAAAAAGAAGCCACTTGCAAAAGACACCAAATAAAAAATACAAAATATATATAATAAACAATTATTTGGTCTACTTTAAGAATTAAAAATAAAATAAAATAATATAACAATTATCACTATTTTAACTAATTTGGGGGGGGGGAAATCTTTTTCAGTTTCACTATCAATACACTTAATAGTAACCGATAATATATATAAGTTTATTTCACAGCTGGATCTAAGCATTGAAAACAGGTCACATGATATTAATGCTTTAATAAATGGACAAAATTAAATAAAACTGTAAAGTAAAGGGGTTCTTATCCCCAACTAAAATTTGTTGTAAACTTTAAATCTGTAACTATCTATTAAAAGAAGATCCAAGATGGCAACTGTACAATTTTTAATTCAATTATTTTTAAAATTTAATCTCTTTATTTTTTTTATTAATCCAATTATTTAGTATATGTTCACTTCAAATGATAAAGTCAACTTTAATAAAAAAACATTAATGGTGTTATAAATTAAAATGATAAAGAAAATCAAAATTTTAAAATAATAAAATTTTAATCATAGAAGAGAAATATAATAATTTAGATCATATTTTAACCTTCTTAAAAAAGAGTTGTTTTGTAGGTTTAATTAGGATTTTATTTCTTATCATAATTCAATCTTGTCGTGAACAATTTCTTTTTATCTCTTTATTTTAAATTTTGTATTTATTTATCTAAACTTAACACAGAAAATGATTTAATAAATACAGAGGACCTTCTATACTCATTTTTTATAAATTAAAATTTATAATATGTTAATAATATTATTGTGACATATTAAATAAATTTACTTTAATATTTATTCTCCAAATGGGCTACACAAAGCTGAACACGAAAATTCTGTCCAAAGCCCAGCTTACACGTCCATTTACTAGAAGGCTCGTCTTATTTAAAGGATGATCCAATACAAAATATAAATATTAAATTTCATTTTATTAATAGATCATTAATATAAATCTATATCTCAGATTGAGCTTTTTTCTCTGAATAAATTTATATTTCAGGTTCTAAGTAGTCATAGTGTGAAGTACTTAATGAATTCACATATATAAGAGGATGAGTTTTTATGCTCTTGATAAGTTCGTAGCTCAAAAATTAAATGATCCTTTTTTAAAAAAAATTATGAATTTATTAGATCATAAAATTAAAAGGTCAAAAATATAAAATGATCTTGATGATTTCATAGTTCTAATTCGAGTGGTCTACATTGAAATAGACTCTATTAAATCATATACATTTTTTTAGAAATACATAAATGTAAAAAACTAATCACTTTCTATGAAAAAAACTTTTGAGTTTTCTCTTACTTTAATAAGTTTCAGAT